TCACTTATTTTTTTGGAAAGTAATTTTTCACAGACACAAGGTTAAAAGAAAGTGGTTGCACGGGCCTCAGCTGGGGTGGTGTGTCTCCTGGTATGCGTAATGCAACTGGGTCTCACGTCTGGGACGATGCCCAGTTTCAGAGGTCTAAAGCCTCTGTTGAAAGCAATGAGGACAAAGTGCTGCCAGAATCTTATGTATGCAACTGGGGTTCGATTGTCTTTGTGAGAGGGCAGGCTTTGATCCACAGTGTCTGGAGGGAGGGGTTTCATTAAACACTGTTTCAGCCCTGAATTCTACAGTCTTGCTGTCTCGTTGTTCCTAAGTCTACCACAAACCTCAAAGGGCCCCGACATAGCCCCTCCCCAGCCCACGTCTGTGTCTCAGGCGGGCCTGGGTAGGAAGAAAACACCGTGAAGCGGATAGGTCCTGCGCTGTGCTTTTGGGTCTCCTGCTAAACCACTCAGAAAGGAAAAGGCTTACAGCGCTCTCCCTCCTTCCTCGGGCCTGGGATTCATTAGAAACCTTCCCCTGTACAAAGACAAGTTTTCCGAAGAAAAGACTTGATAAGAGGCTCCGGTTGTAGGACGAATTCTCCCTTTAAAAAAAGGACAAACCCTGTCAGAATCAGCCGTGGAAACGCTAGCCTGACTTAGAAGGTACATGTCCGTTTCGGGACGCCTTGCGAACACCTTGATGATTGTGGGAAAGAAGAGCAGCTTGGAAATGTTCTGAACCTTTCAGAAGGGTCTTGCTCAGTCCCCATAGTGACCTTACAGGGGTCCTCTCCCACAGGGGGGGACGCCCTGCTGCTGTTAACCGTGGCACTTGAGTCCATGCCAACTCCCAGCAACCCTGGGGCACAGAGTAGAACTGCCCCCTAGGGTTTCTGGGGCTATACATCTTGACAAAGCTGGCAGCCACATCGTTCCCCTGCAGAGTGCCTGGTGGATTAGAACCGCCGACCTTCCAGTTAGCAGCTGAATTCTTGCACCGCGGCACTACCTGAGCTCTTTCCTTGACATCACCTGCTGTGAAGTCGGCTTCCCACCCCCACTCAGGGCAGCCCCACGGACAATGGGAGGAAACGCTGCCAGCTCCTGCTCCGTGCCCACGATTGGTCACCAATGCAACGGTTGTGATCCGTAGACCTTTCCCTGGCTGACTTTGAGCAGTAGAGTGCCAGGACGCTTCCTAGGTCCGCTTAGTCTGGAAGCTGTTGGACTGTGGTCAGCAGCATGGCCACGCAGAAGCTTCCACTGTCAGATGGGGGCGGGGAGGGGAATCTCAACCTCTGCCCCATGAACCACCACTGCCCAGCAGGGAATTTTTGTCGTTTGTGCCGTGTGCTATTGAGCGGGTCTCGCTCAGAGGGCCCCTGTCAGACAGAGCTGAACTTCCTCAGCTGGGTGTCCTAAGCTGAGATCTGTCCTGGAGCAGATCTCCCTGTCTTTTGTCTCATTGAGCCTGTGATTCATTCAAACTGCGGACCTCTTCCTAGCACTTAGCCAACACTTAGCCATACCCCACGAGGGCGTGTCCTCATCGTTCTTCTGCAAGTCCACAGGAACACGTAGGGAGCCGCTGGCCATGCTGGAGGAGCACGGGGCCTCCTGGTCTGCAGGGGCCACAGTCGTGCCCTAGGAGCCCCTACACACACCATACAATTGGTCTGGGGTCCAAGAGCGAGAGGCATGGCCATTGTATTGGAAGTCATGATGGAGGGATTAAATTTAAAACCACCCCATCTGGGATAATCTTCTTTTACAGATGACAAAAGTAACATGAGTAAGTTTAATGCTTGATTTCAGCAGCAGCGTCCTGTTTCAAAGCAAAACCTTTCATCAGAAAAAGTAGCAAGCATTTATTGAGTGTGGGATGTGGAGGACACTAGATGAGGCACATTGTAAGTATGATTTAATCTGCACAACAACGTTGTAAAACAGAGTTGTGATTACTTGTAGTTTTACATACGGGGAAGATGAGAGATTCACCATGCATTGTAAAGTGAGAGTTAAAACAATGTGAAACTCACTACATGAATCAAATCCAAGTGGGGCTACTGGAATAGAATCGGAGGTGGAACGTCACAGATCCTTAGTCCCGGCTGCTTTGCACAACCACCAACCTCCCCTGTCTCCTGACTCAGCTCCAAGGTTTAGTGGAGCCGAGTTTGACCATCTCTTAAGCAGTTAACCCTTGAAACGTCTTCCAAGTCTAACAGCCCACGGCCCTCTGCCTGGGACCTGTACCGTCCACTGCTGTTGAGTCAGACTCCTGGTGCTCTTGGGTGTCAGAGGAGAACTGTGCTCCAGAGGGTTTCCAGGGTTTAATTTTCTGAAGTCGACCGCCAGGCCGTTCTTCCCAGGTATGTCTAGGTGGACCCCAACCTCTACATTTTCTGTGAGTAGCCATTTGAATGGTCTGGGGACTCCAACCACGTCCATCACGAAAACAAAAGCCAGTAAACAAAGTGGTTACTCTGCAGTGAACTGGGACTCATGGCAGCCCATACTGGCTGTCAGAACAGGCTCCTTAAGTCTGGTCATCTGGCCAACTTTGCCTTTCTTCAAAGGGCTGGTTCAGACACCTTCTTACACACCTTTGAATTTGTCTAATGAAATGGCTTCAATAAACACCCCAGTGAAATCAAGGAATCGTGCAGCTGTAAACATTCTGAGGCTGTAAGATGAAATGTGTTGTTTTATTAAAATAGCAGTGCTGAAAAGTCAGGGCCAATTTGTATTTCTTTGTTAATTAAGTTATGAAGCATTCTATAGCTAACACACCTGCTTATGCATTCACTGACAAATTATCCTTATTCAATCCAGCTACACCAAAGTCATGGGTGTGGGAGTTTTTGCCTCTCGAATTAGCTACCTGTCTGGCCCAGTGGAGGAGGGGGGAGTTCATCCAGGAGAGAGGGACTTTTGATCTCTTTGTTCCCTTTCCACCAAGGCAAAAACCCCACAGGCGGGACCTCTTAACTCCTAACTCATATCAGACATCCACAAATTGCATGATTTTAGTGTTGTTGGGGGTGGGGTGGGGAAATAGGTTCTTTCTTCCAGAGTGGCTTGGAGGGAGGGTGGGGGGAGGTAAATTGTTATAACATTATTGAAGAGCAATTTGGCAATAACTATTATAGCTGAGTCATACTCTTTGACCTAATAGCAATTCATCTTCTTGGAATTCATCATAGAGCAGGGTTCCTACACGGGCTCAGGATCCAAGTGTAAAATGGCATTTGTAAGAACATGGGTGACAAGAAAAACCGAGGGCTAATAGCCTCAAATGTGCGCTGACAGGCCAAGGACACGATTTGTTTGGGTTAGGCATGCAGGGCTATCTATGGGGCCGTTTGCGGGAAGATGGAAACAAAAGACATCGCTTTATAGAGACTGGCACCGACTGATGCCGGGGACAGATTGCCAAGTGGAAAGCAGCATGCTATAGAGTTGAGGGTATAATCCAATATTTATAAGGTGATAAAGAAAATGTCTATTTGTGCCTTAAAAACCAGCATTCACGACTCTCGTCTGATGGAGTCGTGCCATCACCAGAGCCCTCCAGGTGTTGTGTGTTAGGCCTGTGCTGTTAACCATGAGGTCAGGAGCTTGAATCAACCAACCTCTCTATGGGGAAAAGTATGAGGCTGTCTACTCCCAGAAAGACGTACAGCCTCTGAAGCCCTAGGGAGCAATTATACTCTCTGTCCTAGAGGGTTGATATGAGTCAGAATTGACTTGGCTGCTGGTTTGGGTTTTATGCTACAGCAGTGGTTCTCAACCGGTGGGTCAAGACCCCTTTGGGGGGTCGAACGACCCTTTCACAGGGGTCACTTGATTCATAACAGTAACAAAATTACAGTTCTGAAGTAGCAACAAAAAGAATTTTGTGGTTGGGGGTCACCACACGATGAGGAACTCTATTAGAGGGTAGCGACATTAGGAGTTGAGAACCACTGTGCTAGAGTATTACAATGGTTCAAATTATGAATGTGTAGATAGATAGATAGATGGATAGGTGGATAGATAGATGGATAGGTGGATAGATAGATAACGTGTATCTGTACATGCCATTACTTTTATCATCAGGAAAAAAAAAGTTTCATTCAATGGCTTTTTTTTTTTTGAGGGCTCAATGGGAGAAGTATGGAAGCCTAATCCAAATCTATCCACTGTCTGAAACAGAAAACTCGGCTGACTTTGGGATAGTCATGTCACCTCACCTCCCCAAAGGACCGGGCTTTAGGAGTCTAGGAGCCAAGGTAGCATTTCGCCCATAAAGGAGCGTTCTTCCTATGAGAAGTGCCGGGGAAGGGGGAACCCGCTGTAGGCCATTCATGAAGCACTGCTGGAGGTCAGAAAGGACAGCTGAGCAGAAACATCTCAGCCCCACTAGGGACTTGCCAGGAGGTGGGGCCACCCATCAAAGATGAAGAGGAAATAGTGCATACTTGTCACTCTTATCAAGCTGAGATTTGGTGTACCTTCTCTAGCTGAAGGGCATATCTCTTATGGGTTTTGTTTTTTAGGGGGGGATCCTATAGCTTAGGCAAGAAGTCCAGGTGGTGCAGTGCTTAAGTACTTGGCTTCTAAACAAATGGTTGATGGCTCAACGGCCACCCCCCCACCCCCACCCCACTGCCCACCAGCCACTCCTTGGAAGGATGATATGACTGTATGCGTCACTAAAGAGCTCAGCCCCAAATACCAAACTCACTGCCATCAAGTGACCCTAGTTTCCAAGACTGGAACTCTTTAGGAGAGTAGAAAGCCCTGTCTGTCTCCCGAGGAGAGGCTGGTGGTTTTGAACTGGTGATCTTGCAATTGTAGCCTAATGTATAGCCACTGCAGGATGCCCCCAGGGCTTCTCTATAGAGACCTGTGGCTTTGAAAACTCTGAGTGGCCTTTCTACTTTGTCTTAGAGGACCACTCTGAGTCTGTGCAGCGCTCACAGAGCAGCCCGGGTAGCACAATGGTTAAGTACTCACCTGCTAACCGAAAAGTTGGTGGTTCCAACCCATCCTTTGGTGCCTCGGAAGAAAGGGCTGGCAACAATCTTCTCAAAGCCTAGAGAAACCTCTGTTGTGCAGCACCTGGGATCCACCTGGGTCAGAATCAATTCCACGGCAACTGGTTGGGTTGTGGTTTAGGTAGAGTTCCTCCAACGTAGAGGGCTCTTTTAACAAAAAGAATGCAAGTTGCAAATGCACCACTGATCCAAAGGTTTGGAAGGGGCCCCTGGGAAAGAGAGGTAGGTAAGCTAAGCTTCCTTAGCTTCCCTGTGAATCCGCTCTGCTCTGGCTCACAGTTGGGCGGCCAGATCACACAGCCCGGGCACTTGTCCTTTTCTTGAAGGCGCTTCCTGTGCCAAAGCCGTGGAAGCCAGAGGGAGCGTCCTGGGCCCTGGGAGAGGAGACGGAGCCATCTGAGCTCTTCTGGGGATACTTGCGTTTCTGTGGATGCAAATGCTCTGGAGAAATGCTATTTGTTGATCATGGCAGCCGCCCAGTTCTTGATGCTCATAAAAACGATGGCAGTCAGCACTGGAAAAGATATATTAGGTCATCAATCTAGACTTGGGTCCAAGGCAAGATGGCTCTTTATTGTAATCATTCCAAGCCTTTATCCAAGCGGCCCTGAAATGTCTCAAGGGCTTAACTCTTAGAAGACTGTTTCTCTGGTCCAATTTCTGCACAAATGCTGAGGTGTTTGTTAAAGGAAGAGGAAAAAAGGAACAAGAGGCATTTGAGAGTTGGACCCCCACACACAACGACTTAATGCTATCTATCCATCCACGAAGATTTGGATCAGAGGTTTCCCCAGGAAGAAAGCGACTGGGTGCAAAGAAAGCCCTGTATCTCTGGCATCAGGTTGCCATCAAGGAAGCAATCACTGATTGTTTCCGGTTCCTTGTGTTTCAACGTTGGTGGTGAGTTTCTGTTTAGCTTTAGGGGGAAAAAAGCAGGCCTGTTTGCATTCTCCTTAGCAGGGCACTATCAAGCATGAGTAATACTTAAAAGCTGCTCTTGTTAATGGGAAGAAAGTGGTTTTCCTTGCCTTTCCTGTAACCTCGGTCTTTCTGATGTGGCCCTAATTCTTATTTGAGGCTACTATGGATGAGAAACACAAGGAATCTTAAAACCAAGTTGGTGTCTTCTCCTGCGTCACTTTAAAGCCATATTGATAGTCATCCTAACTTCCCAAAGGATTCTAGTGGCTACTTTTGGGTGGCAAAGAAAGGGTTGTTCTAAAACGCAGTGCGTTAAACCTTGGGGTCCAAACCTACCAGCTGCCCTGCAGAAGCTGGGCTGTCCTGGAAAGATCGACAGCCTCCGAGTCCCTCGGGAGCACCTCTATTCTGTCCTATAAAGTCTCTAGGATTCAGAATCGACCTGAGTGAGTCAGAGGGGGAGCCCAAACCAAATTCACTGCCATCGAGTGGATGCTTACTCAGAGCAGCCCCATAGGACAGGGTAGAACCGCCCCTGGGAGTTTCCAAGACTATAACTCATCTCATGAATAGAAAACCCTGTCTTTCTCCCTTGTAGCAGCAGGTGATTGTGAATAGACCAGGGCTCCTCAATACACCAGAATAAATCTCAATTAGGACCCCTGGGGTGTAGTAGTTATGCATTGGGCTGCAATTTGCATGGTCCGCAGTTCAAAACCAGCAGCCACTCCTCAGAAGAAAGATTGGCCTTTCTAGTCCCGTAAACAGTTACAGTCTCAGAAACTCAGAGACTCTCTGAGTCAGCATTGACTCGGTGGCTTGGTTTGTTTTTTTTTTAAGACCTCAACAAATAGCATTATTTGATTGTGTGTTACATGCTCTTACTTAAATCGTGTCTTCCTTGCGCCATGCTTGTGTGTGTCTGTGTGTGGTTTACCGGATTGCTTTTTGTTTGTTTTTATCTGAAGCACTGTGAAAGACAAAAGGAAACCAAAATGATCAGATGCTTCATCTCATGTGATCTGCACTCTTTGAAGACTATTATTATCACCACCATTTATAACACAGGAAATAGAGGCTCATGGAAGTTAAAACCCTCATCTGTTGGAGTGGCCAAGCCAGGGACTGAATCCCACAAATGCTAACTCCAGAGCTGAGGTTCTTACCCACCGACCCATAGTGCCTCCTGGAGGCATCCTTTGGTCTGGTCCACATCTCACCAGTGTGCATCTGGGATGTGGGTCTATGGGTGTGGCCAAAGCCATTTTCTTGTTGATAGGTAATATTACTAACAGATCTAAAAGTGCTAAGGAATAGTATCACATTTGTATCTTTCCACTGGAAAATTCATTTCTACTTCAAACCAAGATAAGAGATATTAGTAATGAGTATTACTAATAAGTATTACCATACATACTCAAGTATAAGCCAACCCGAATATCAGCCTAGGTACCTAATTTTACCATAAAAACTACATTAAAAATGTGTTAAACAACTCAGCTTATACCCGAGTAAATATGTTAGTATTAGTATTAGTATTAGTATTAGTAATGAGCTCAATTAGCAACAGGTAAACCCTCTGTAACCTACCTTTTAAAAAAAATGTTTTTTTAATGATGGTTAACCATCAAGAGACTCACCATGAGGATGATCTAAGTTAAATTTATCTGCACTTCACTGGAGCAAAGATTTAAAAGTACACCTGGGAATTCATCCAAAATGTACTCATCAAAAAGCAAAGGTATTTGAAAGAGGAGGAAAAGTATAGGGTTATGGTGCACAAGGTTCTTTTTAAGCCCCTTGAACCTGGGACACATGGTTAAAGCTAGGTATGTTAAATGGGCGTATTTTTATTTCGTAAACAGTAGATCTGTCTCAGGGATGTATGTGGCATGTTATATTCCTCAGTGTACTTGTCCACCCTCACAAATGAGTAAAGATCATGAAAAACAACAACCCTCAGAAGGTATAAGATGCCCCAACGTGTCATTGAAAATCATTAGAAAGATAGTCTCCCTACCAAAACATTCCATTACCAGGAGATCTTTTTCTTTAGGATTTCTGAATGTATGTAAAAGCAGTTAAATAAAAGAATTTAAAATATTTTACCTTCGTATTCAACAAATTCCATTTAGGAAAAATAATGAGCTGTGTGAACTTCGAAACCTCCAGTGAAACCAGGATTGATGGTGAATCTATAAGGACAGCAAGTAGAATAAAGGGGAGGGGGTACAGTGGGGAGAGGGCGGGCAAGAAGGAGATGATGTCAAGGGGTCCATGTAGAAAAAGAATAGTTGAGAACTGATTGTGGTAGCAAGTGTACAATTCTATTTGACGTGATTGAAGTATGGAATGATATGTTATATATATGTAGTAAAGCCCAACTTAAAAAACAATCCATCCGGAAAAAAACAGAAACTGTATAATTTAGAAGTCACACTGTTCGTGAGCTCACTAAATGTAGGCTGTAGTGACCTCCTCACCGGATCGGACCTGAATAGTAAGCTCTTAAATGAAGTGGCTGTCTGACAAAACAGAATGCCTTGTACATGGTTCCCTCAGTCTGTGTGTGTGTGTGTGTGTGTGTGTGTGGAACGAATGAGCCTGATGGAATTCAGGTCGATTTCAGATGGCCCCTGGCTTGTTCTATATCTTCCTGCTTGTTATTGCTAGTTCTGCCTCATTTAAATGGTAACCAATCACATGATAGCAGTTACGTGTACTTACAACCCCCTCCATGCAGATGATCACTTTCAACTGTTTCTGAAAATGGACGAGGCTGTATTCGTGAGGACCTAGTTTAATAGAAAAGACATTAGCTCATTTGTGTAATAAATATCCCAGTAGGACAATGGATCCAGCCTCCCAAACCATGTTGGCAGGAGTTGCGCTCCCTTTAGATTCTAATTTCACTGAGCTCTGGGCTCGTTTTATTCTTAGGCAAATGTGGTGACAAAGATGGATCTACTCAGCAGCTCCCAGGGAGAAGAGAGAGGGCTTCTCTCCTGATGGAAGCTGTCTTCCCTTAGTCCCAGCTGGCCCCGGGCCCGCTCCAGCGCCATGCGAGAGGGCTGCAATGATACGCTGCTGTATCAGTTGCCTGTGGCTGCTCCAACAAGTTAAAACAACAGCCGTGAATTCTCGCCCTTTCCGGAGGCCGCTCTCTGAATTCAAGGAGTCGGGGCAGAGCCACACTTCCAAAGGTTCTAGAGAGTCCATCCCTTGTTTCTTCCAGTTTCTGGTGGTTCCTGGGCTAACCCTGACCCTCACTCCAGTCTCTGCCTCCATGGTCGCCTGGCCTCGTCCTCGCTCTGTGCCTCTCTGTCAGATCTCCCACAACCTCTATAAAGACACACAAAATTGTACTTAGGGTCATTCCGGATAGCTGGTCTCACAACCCTTCACTTAATGACTTCAGCAAAGACCCTTATTTTCAAATCAGGTCACAGTCACACATTCCACGGATAAGGATGTAGAGGTATCTTTTGAAGGGGCCTATCTCTTTGAATGGCATTCCTTCAGCCCACAATCGCTGGTGATTGTGTAGCAATCTCCTTGGCAGGAAGGCTACGCAGTGCGGTCGGATGTGTAGTATGTGCCTATTGTGGAAGCATAAACACTGCCACCATGGCCAATTTCATGCTGACAAAGTGAAGTCCAAAGAGTGGAGTCTGGGGGAGAGGGGTACGTAATAACACTCTCCTAAACAGTGTCCCCTCCACAGAGACCCGACAGATGTTGGTGACCTCAAGAGCAGGGGTAATAGGAAGGTTATCATCAAGTGATTAGGAAGCGATCGGTTCCAGAGTTGATTGTGTTGGTCTGATCAGTTCCAGAGTTGATTGTGTTGGTCTGATCAGTTCCAGAGTTGATTGTGTTGGTCTTATAAGGCATTTCGTGGTAAGATTATACACTTTAAACTTTAATAGTGATTGTGTTTGACCACGGGCACTTACAATTCCCCACTGGCTGGGTTGAGTTAGGATGAGCTCTCTCGAGAAGCCCACTGGACAGAATACGCTGATGGGGCAGACCGTGTCTTAGGACACTGGGTCAGTGATCTCGAAACCACACACACTGAAAATGGGGTGGGTGGCTCCTTCAGAGCAACTTGAGGTGTTCTTCAAGAAGGAGAAAGGAATCCGAGGAACACAAAAAGAAAGCATCCGTGCCCGTATTGCTGTTTAAACGTTTTCATGATTGCGGGCTAAGGAAAGAACAAATTTCCGTCAGTTTCCGAAGCATTTGGATGTACTTGTATTGCTGTGGACCTGCAAGTCAGATCCTTTGGACCTAAGGAAAAAATTAACATCACTTGATTCCGCTCATAAAATCTGTTTTGAAGCGGAGGCACATCCACATTCCAAGGTGAGCGGGCTCGGAAAGAAAGAGAAGTCACGGCTCTTCTTCTTTAGCATCACTTAAAATGTATTCCGCAGCATGCCACACCATTCATCCCGTGCAAGTGTGCAGCCCTCCCTACATTAGTGCGTTCACAGACTTGTGCAAGGATGAGCACAATTCATTTGAAAGCACTGCAGCTCCTACCAGCAAAACTCCCCACCTTAACAGTCATCACACACCCAGCCCCTGGCCATTGTGTCCACTTTGGGTGGCCACAGATGGCCTCGGCTGGTTATATTTCATGTGACTGTGGTCCGCCATGACTGGCGTCTTTCGTGTAGCCTAATGTTGGCATGGTGTAGTATACATCAGCATTTTACTCTGCGGCCAGATCATTCTTCCTTGCACGCAGGACTGCCTTGACCCTTTCATCAGTGGATGGACACTAGGGTTGGCTCTACCTTTTGACTATTAAGGATAATGCTGCGATAAGCTTTCGTGTGTTTGTATGGTCTGGTGTGTGAACATACTTTTCCTTTCTCTACAGCCAGGGGTCTTTGTAAGTTAAAAAAAAATGAGTTAAACAAGTTTTCTCACTTTCCACATGATTGAAGAGATTGTTAAGTAGGCTTTAAATCAGAAGTATCACATGCACATTCTCAAGGCTGTTAAATATTGGTTCACTCCTCCCACCTCCACCAGTTTGGGGCAGAGGAGACAGAGGTTGTTTGTGAGGAGCATGCAGGAGCTGGGTTGGGTCCCCTAAGTCACTGCCCAGGTGTGGCTGAAGCCCCTCTGCAGCACCTGTGTCCTAGCCAGAAACCCCAAACCAAACTCACTGCCATTGAGTCAAGTCTGACTCATGGTGACCCGGCCCTATAGGACAGCGGTTCTCAACCTGTGGGTCGAGACCCCCTCTCACAGGGTCACCCAGGTCATAATAGTAGCAAAATGACAGTTATGAAATAGCAACAAAAATAATGTTATGGTTGGTGGGGGGGGGGGTCACATAAGGAACTGTATTAAAGGGTTGAGACAGTAGGAAGTTTGAGAACCACTGCTATAGGACCAGGAGAACTGCCCCTCTGGGTTTCTGAAGCTGCGATTTTTGACAGGAGTAGAAAGCCTCATCTTTCTCCTGTGGAGCGGCTGGTAGTTTTGATCTGTGGACCTTGTGGATAGCAGCCCAATGTGTAACCCACGATGCCTGATTGACTCACCAGAATAGCCCTAATACAGTTACATTCCATATACAAAGTATAAAGCATAATACATATATATTTTAAAAATCATTTTATTGGGGACTCTTAAAACATTCCATTTATCAATTGCATCAAACATATTTGTACACATGTTGCCATCATCATTTCCAAAACATTTTTTACTGAGCCCTTGGTATAAGCTCCTCCCCCACCTTCCCCTCTCATGAATCTTTGATCAATTATATATTGTTATTATTTCATATCTTACACGGTCCGTTGTCTCCCTTCACTAACATTTCTGCTATTTGTCCCCATTGGGGGGAGCAATATATCTACCCTTGTTTCCACTTTCTCCCCACTCCCCCTCCCCAGCGTCCCCCTCCCCTCATGCTATCGCTACTCTCACTACTGTTCCTGAGGAGGTAATCTGTCCTGCATCCCATGTGTCGAGAACTCTGACCTGTACCAATGTGTGTTCTCTGGTCTAGCCAGAATTGTAAGGTAGAACTGGGTCATGGTAGTGGGGGTAGGGGGTGGAGAGGGGAGGAAGCATTCAGGATCTAGAGGAATGATGTGTGTTTCATTAGTGCTGTACTGCACCTTGGTTGAATCATCCCTTCCTTATAAGCCTTCTGTGGGGGATATCCATTTGTCTACAGATGGTCTTTGGGTCTCCACTCCACCTCCCTTGATCACATTGATATGCTTGGTTGTTTGGGATCTTTTAATACCTGATACATGATCCCGTCGACACCTCATGATCATGCAGGCTGGTGTGCTCCTTCCATGTGGGAGTGTGTCCCATAATACATATATTTAAAACCAATGTACTCTCTAGAAATCAGGCTTGGAGCCTGGGGGGTCCTGAGGGAAGAGGAGAAAAACTGTGTCTTCCTGGGAAGCCAGTGGAGAGTCTGGTTCTCCCTCGTGCCTGTGGGGAGTGTTGTCTGCCTTGTGCCCTGCAGAGAAAGATGGGGCTGTGTCTTAATGCCATGGGCACTTTCTGCCAAGACATTCAAAGTGTTTTGAAAAAGTCTTTCACTCACTCCCCTGAAGGAGTTTACAAAACACCCACAAGAAATGATTTCTTTGACAATGTACACTTTCCAGTTAGCCAAGACTGGGCAGAAACAGAACTAGAAAGCCAGACCTGCTGGCTAAACAGTCTGCTATCTTCTGTGCGGTGAGTGTCTACCAATCCAAACACAGCCTCCTAAACGGAATCTCCTCAGACTATCCCCAGGCCCCCTCCCTCCGACGTGGCCAATGCACCTTTCACTGGGGAGCAGAACTCCCCTTTCCAAGTCAGAACCCACTGATGCAGCATTTACTCACAGGAAGTCCTGAGAGGGTGTGTGTAAAAAGAGGGAGACCCTCAACCCAACGGAGGCTCACACAGAAGCACAAAGGTGAGGATGCCCCAGGACCAGGCGTGCTTGCCTCTGTTGGATACAGGGTCTATTGAGTTGGAACGGACTCACTAGCACCGAACAATAATAACAAGTCCTCACGTCTGGGGTCTTAAAGGCTTGAAGGCAAACAAGCGGCCATCTAGCTCAGAAGCAACAAAGAACATGGAAAAAGCACACCAGCCTGTGTGATCACAAGGTGCCGAAGGGGTCTGGTATAAGGCATCATCAGAACAAAAAAATCATGTCATTGTGAATGAGGGGAAGTGCGGAGTGGAGACCCAAAGCCCATCTGTAGGCAATTGGACATCCCCTTATGGAAGGGTCTTGGGGAGGAGATGAGCCAGTCAGGGTGCAGTGTAGCAATGATGAAACATACAACTTTCCTCTAGTTCCTAAATGCTTCCTCCCCCACCCCTACACCCACCCCACTATCATGATCCCAATTCTACCTTACAAATCTGGCTACATCAGGGGCTATACACTGGTACAGATAGGAACTGTAAACACAGGGAATCCAGGGTGGATGATCCCTTCAGGACCAGTGGTGAGTGTGGCAATGCCGGGAGAGTGGAGGGAGGGTAGGGTAGGGTGGAGAGGGGGAACTAATTACAATGATCTATATATAACCTCCTCCCTGGGGGACGGACAACAGAAAAGTGGGTGAAGGGAGATGTCGGACAGTGTAAGATATGATAAAATAATAATTTATAAATTATCAAGGGTACGTGAGGGAGCGGGGAGCGGGGAGGGAGGGGGGGAAATGAGGAGCTCGTGTCAGGGGCTTACATGGAGAGCAAATGTTCTGAGATTGATGAGAGCAATGAATGTACAAATGTGCT